TTGGGTGCCCCTGCATGAAGACGTGTCCTATTATAAGAGGGGATCTTCCCGTATAAATGGCACCTAACCGTTGTACACCATTTACAAAATGTTTCCAGAAAATCCGGTTAGAAAGTGAGTGGAGCACAGCTGTTCTGGTCGCTCCCGTAAAGAAATTCCAAAATAAACGCGGAACGTCTTAAAAGGTATAGATCACTTTTATTCATCTACAAATAAGTTTTCGGAAAATCCGGTTGGAAAGTTATTGAATCTCGACTTTTATGGTCGTCCCAACTCAGGAACATCTGAAAAGGTAGTCCTGTTTTCCTGGTTTGAAATATTCCGAACGGAAGTTCACGATCAGGTTCATTTCTTCAGAGCCATCTTTGATTCCAGTTTCAGGGTTTAGTATCCGTCCGTTAATTTTTGGTAAATGGGACTGATTTCGGCAAATGACAAACGCTATTCCCGATGGAATTTACCATCCTTCATTACCTGAATTTTGCTCATAGTTTGCCTCAACCGTGAACCGACTGGTTTTTCCATGTAAATGGTGGGGGCTAAATATCTGAGTACGCGACCACTTCTTTGAAACACGCACGTCTCATTTGCGACACTACATTGTTGTCTTATTTACGGTAATTCTGTCATTCATTCAAATGTTCGGTATGTTATAATATGCTTCTTAACATTGGTCCAGGGGAAAGAGAGAGGGATCAAAGCATTTTATGTAGAGAAAAAAAAGTTTCTTTAAAAAAGCACTTGACTTCTGTAATATATGGGCGGTTCTTAGTCATTTATTACTGTAAATCAGAGAGATCTGTTTCAGCCCTAAAAATCGATAAGTTTCGGTGATTAAAATATAGTCCTCTTTTTTGGGTGCTGAAGTGGCTTCCTTCATCAGGGCCAATACATTCCAATTACCTAGGGCTGACTTGGACACAAGGGTTGAAAGAGTCTCCGTGAGGGCTGGAATAAGCTTTTGATGGGGCTGTTTCATTCTAAATTGTGTTCGAATAGCTCCAGGAGAGGCTGAATAGGACTTTGTCCAGCAGGGCTCAATTGACGTTTTGGGGCTGCAACAGATCTTTTTGGTTTTTAGTGCGGAAGATCTCCGCTCCCTCAGATCGTTCTACTCCCTTTAATACGTAGAATACTTTAGTTTCTTGCAGCTGAAATTAACTGGAGGATGTACAAGAACAAGTTGACGATATCCAGGTAGAGGTTCAGCGCGGCAAAGATGTACTCTTCTGGCGAAATAGCGTACATTTTGCCCCCTCCCATCATGATCTGTGTGTCATACACGAGGTACTGAAAGGTAACCAAAGAAATAAAAGATAATTTTCTTACTGAATAATTTTCGCTTTTTCAAGCTTTGTAATTTTTTTAGAAGATCCGTCCAAAAAGTCCCGCGAAGAAAAAATCCACTGCGAAAGTTTTTGTGGGAAAAAGCAAGTACTACTAGCAGTTCCTAGGGATTGCCGAGCGTGCGAAAATGATATGAAAATGTTACGAGCAAGTAACAAGCACTCTACGAGCTCGGCTCGTCCAATTGACAATCAAGCCTCGACCAGAGCGACTGAAAAGGGTGTGCTCGATGAACCATAGCCTGCGTTGAAGCCGGCCCACGCATCGGACTCGGCCATTGGTATAGTACGCTCTATACAGGCGGTTTAGAGGTAACCGGTCGTTTTGCCTACAGGTTTAGGCGAATCGACTCTAGACGTAGGCGAAACGACCGCAATTCGGTTTAGAGTGTCTTCGACGCAGGCTAGGTAAATCAGGGAAACCAACTGCACAAATGCAAGATATAAGTAACTTAGAATAATGCTGCAGTAACTACTAAGTATGATATATAAATTTTCAGTAACACGATGAAATGGTTGTTTGGTAGATAAGACTGAAGGTTGTTCTAATAACAGAAAGATATTACATACAGAACAATTAAGGGGGAATCACTCAGTAAACATCCATCCCTCTCTTTGTTTTTCTTCATGGATCATTATGAGTTTCACCCTGGGCGGCTAGCCTCCGCGCAGACGTCCTTTGGGGTTCGTTCGTCACGCATTCATTTCTATGAATGCGTGATGAACGAACCCCAGAGGACGTCTGCGGGGAGGCTACCTTGGTGCCAGCCCGGAGGGTACTTCCTTATAAGGGCCTACTGGGGATGTGCCGCTGGATGACAACCCTCCAAGTTAAATTTTTCCTTTGGTGGCCAACTCTTTAGGTTCAGTCGCCAAAGGATTTTTTTAGGCGTCAGTTTCTTATAGACCGGTTTTTACTTCATTTTCCATTTTAATTACAGATTTTCCTCTATTTTAATTACAGACGTATATATTTTGAAGCCTTGGACCGATAACCCTGAAATTAAGTCTAGATTTGATCAACAGCAGGGTATAAAATCTTGGCGAATCTCGAAAACTTGCTTCCCAAGACAGCTTCAGGGGACGATTTCTCAAATGACTGGCTATTATCAGTCTGCAACTTTTATGGTTCAGATATAAACAAGTACCGTCTT